CACAGATGGCGAGGAAAGCACGTGAGATGTAAACCAATCAACGTATCTAAAATACACGCAAGCTGCTGGATGGGAGGAGACACGAAAGAGATTCACATGATGGTTGTGATTAAGTATACTATTAAATCATCCACTTGTGCAAAAGCAGGGGTTGATGCAGTGTGCAGGTGTGAAAGCTTTTGCCAAATTTATGATAAGTTCGTGAAGTGGAACGTTCCATGATGTACTCTGGCTTGAGATGTGAATGTTCTGCAGATGCCCGGTGGTATGAGAGGGTGAGTGCTGAAGACATAATGCTGAGGAATTCTGTGTGTTTGGATTGTATTCGTTTTTCTGACCATATGCATTTTAATTTGATTTTGGGGAAATACATCACTCTAAAACCATGTTTAGCTTTGGGGCATTTGTCTGATGTCAGTGGAACACAGCAAACTACACTTTATGTAGGCTACTTGATATGTGATATCTCAAAACCAAACAAACTTTAAACACTCTCAGGCCATAATGGACGCCCTAATGACAGACTGGGGCAGAATCTAAACTCTGCTTCTGAAATAGTAGTATTTACACGATGTTTCCATACGCTTTTTTTTTTCTTGGTTCCTGTCTCTTGTCTCAAAAGGCAACAGTGTAGTTTGAGGTGTGTGTAACTGGGCGGATGCATGCTTGTGTGTGTGCACGCGAGTCTGTGAGTCGGCGAGTGAGAGAGTGAGTATACGAGGGTGAGAGAGAGAGATAGCACACCTGAGGCAAAACTGGGCCACAAACAGTCAGCTGCCTCCAGCTCTTCACTTTGAAAATTCAGCTGAAGGGGGTTATGTATTCTTACTCAAAAAAAAAAAAAAACTATGAAATATTTTTATAATACATACACTAACTATAATTGCTCTATTCCTAGACAGCTCTGAGGAAAAGTATGGAAGTAGAGGAGAAAGGGAGTTTTCGTTATCAGAGATCTGCCTGATGCTTTATGCAGGAAAATACTCTTCCTTCACTGTCCTCCCCCGAGTCACAACACCTCTCTGTCTGACCCCAGCCCTTTCAGGTGCATTATGGGTAACTGGAAAAAGGTAAGAGGCAGACATGAACATTTGCCTGGTTCTCGCAGTAGCCAGCATCTCCAGGGACAGGAAAACACTGACAGGAAACGTCCCTTTCACTTTTTTTTTTTTTTTCCATCTCTTTGCGTCTGAGTGTGCCCGAGAGTGGAAGGACATGTGGTTTCTGTCTGCTAAACATTAGGTTAGGTTGGGGGTACAAACCAGACTGACAAAAAGTTGTCTTCTCTCCGGAGCCTTTGACAAAACATTGAGGTGGGAGAAGATGTAATGTTCTGCTTCCCATAACAGGATTTTATTTATAATTTTTGAGGTACGAGGGGACGTGGTTGAGTTTGTCTGTGGAAAGAAGTGGTGGTGAGTAGGGGGAGGGTGGGTGATTTCAAAGCAAAGTGCCCTGAGAATTTCCCAGTGTTTTATTTTTTCTTCTTCTCTGCAGGTGGAGAAACACTTGGAAACTTGGAGGACTCAAAATTTCTCTCAGCACCCCTGGCTGAGTCAGGCTACCTCTGTGCATATTTCTGCGCACTAGAATAATGCTTGTATGCTACGATACTCATTCCTGCTGAATTAACAGATGCGAAACAGCCAACAATGCAATTCAAAACAATAAAATTTCAAAATTTAATATATTCTCTACATAGAAGATATATATGTATGATATAAGAAGGTAAGAAAATATTCTTCTTCTACAATGTTTATTATAGGTTGTAAAATCACATTACTGTCTTCTTATTCTTCGACGAAAGCACTGTGGCGCTTCAAATCCTCAAATTTCCACAGTAAACTCCTTAATATGAAAAGCATAATGCCTGAAGAACTAAATTCCATTCAGTATTATTTGTATAGCACTTTTCAAAGACAGACTGTCACAAAGACGCTTTACAGTGCAAAAACAGGGCAGAGCCTAGCCTATTCCCCACTACAGCAAATTGAGACAAAAAAAAAAAAAACTCCCAGTAGGGAGAAAAATCCTCAAACAGTGGTGAGAAAAAACTCCCCAGTGGGAAGAAATCTCAGGAGGAACCGAGTATAGTGGGGAAGCTCATCCTCCGCGGGCTAGCCAATTAATAATATTCAATTAAAACCCATTAATACTCATTAAAACATCCAAACAGAGCCATCTGTAGCTCCAGGAAGTGGCATGGCAGGGATGGAGCAGAACTGGATCAGGACTGGATCAGGACAGCAGGACAGCAGCCAGCGCTCATGGTGAAGGACAGGGGTCAGACAGTCCATGGGCTCAGGGTTGTGGAGGGAAAAGATCCCCAGAAAAAGACAGAAAAAAGGGGTTAGGCTCTGGATAAAACTACTGCATACTAATGAAAAATCTGTCCTGCGTCATGTGTCAAGTAACAATTCAGGAGCAATGACTCTAGGAACAGTCAACACTCCTCCATCTACTATTGCAGCACAGAGGCCCTACAGTTATAACAGGCTGTAAGATCACACAAATTTTCTTAACACTAGCCATGACAAGTACCACGTGAACATTCCTGGTGACTAAGGCCGTAGCTTGCTCCACTGGCACTGCTAATTAACCTCTTAAGCCCTGAGCCTCTGGCTCGAAAAAGACAAGCCCAAAATAAAACAAGTATATCTCTGCAACTACTCGGTCCATTTGAATAATCTTTGTATCATAATAAAGGTAACACCATTTGGGATTTCTGTCATGATGTAAAATCAGTATATGTGTCACTGAGTCACAGTAAATGAAGATGGAACACGGCATAAATGAAAGATCTCATTTCCACCCAACAAATTTTACTTTTATCCCTTTTTGAAATTATTTAGTTGCAGTCTGAAACCTCTATAAATATTAAAGCACAGAATCTCATCATTATCTGTGCCAAAGTTTATTTTAATCAAGTAAATCAGAACAAAATTAAAGAGGAATGTCTAGTTGGCTCTCCAAATTGGCACTTTGGGCACCTTTTTGCACACTGTGTGCCATTTCAGTTTTCTCAGGTACCAAACTGTAAAACTCATTTCATTTCACTTATATTTCACTACAGCCATACATTCCATCCAAATACATTAACATTTTTTTTTATTATCATTATTATTATTATTATTATTATATAATATTTTTATATCATTTCTACCAGTCCTGTATACAGACAGGGTAGTCATTCCTCAGATTGCATATTATTAAAATCTGACTTTTATTTCTAATTACCACTAGATCCAGTGCCCATTTCAGTAAAATACAAGGTCATTCTGTACCCAATAGATGACTTTGCTGCAGGAAAAAGCAACGGCCGTTTTCATTTCTTATGTGGTCAGTGGTGTGTTGCTTTCTGTGGCATTATTTATTTTATGATTGATAATATAGAATAAATTATAATTATTATAACAATAAACATGTCAGAATATGGATACATAATTATTTCCATTTCTATTGTCTACCTGTCAAATATTTGCTGTTACAGTAAACAACAATAAATCTGATAGCAAAATAAGGATGTATTGTTGTTGGTGGTCACAGTGAATAGTACGGTGTTTACCTCCCCCAACACCGGCCCCCAAACCCCCATATAGTCTTCTGGAAGAGGACAGAGAACATTGTGCTGCGAGTGAAGTGAGGAGAGACACCAGACGAATGAAAAATGAAGCGACAGAGAGAAAGAGAATTTTATTGATGGTGCCGTTTGAGTGGACTCGGGGTTTTCAGGTGCCCTCAGGACAGCAGGAAATGATAAAAAATCTAATGTAAGGCCAACATATGATTGACAATGATGAGGCTTCTACATGCACTGTACTTCAACTGTGCTTTTATTTTTTTGGTCTGAAAGTAAGCTATCTGGGAGAGATTTTTGCGTGCAATCATTATTGTTAAAGCAGATGCGTACTTCTTAATGGGAGTGTGTGCCGCTAATCATTTATGTGAAAAAAATGTGCGTGAGAGAAACCCATTCCCGTAAAAAAGGGAACCAAGGATTACTCATAATATTTAATATTGCATAACATCTCCTTTCATCCACAGAAAAACTGCAGACAAGCTTTACACAAAATAAACAGAGAACCCTGCTCCAACATTTCAGAGATGTGTAAAAACATGGAGGAAATGACAGTTTTTATGAATTAATGACAGAATACCTTAGCAAGAACAGGGGGTAGAGTGGCAGCTAAAAGACAGCTTTGAAAGTGATGTATTTCTTTCATCCCAAAGTCAAGTTTCATGACTGGTCCGAGTACCATGCAGGAATTGGAAGAGAACCTTCCCCATCACCTTCGACATGAAGATGTTTCTATATGTGGCCTAAAAAAATTGTGAAATGGGAGGTGGGTTTCAGAGAAATTTATGAATTCATTAACTATGTGCATAATTGTCATCAATGCAATATCACAAGTATTATCTGTGCATTTTTTAATGCAGCCTATCGGTGGTCTCTCGGTCATTTCCAAGTTCATAATTTCTTTATCATTATACGCTTATATATTGGTTTTGGTAAATACAAGTGCCGGGTTTAAATAGAATAAATACATGCAAAAAAGAGCTGCAGCATTCCAATATTGATTTGGAATTTGATTGTCAGCGTGAGCCTGCGACATGGTTTATGTCCTGAGCCCAGTCATTCGTCCATTATCTGTACCACTTCTTCCTCACGGTCGCGGGGGGGGCTGGAGTCTATCCCAGCTGACTGTGGGCGAAAGGCAGGGACCCACCCTGGACAGCTCGCCAATCCATCACAGGGCGCACGCACCATTCACTCGAACACTCATACCTATTGACAATTAGTGTCTCCAGTTAGCCTGATGTGCATGTCTTTAGACTGTGGGAGGGAACCGGAGTACTCGGAGGAAACCCACACGAACATGAGGAGAACATGCAAACTGCACACAGAAAGGCCCCAGGCCGGATTAAAACCTAAAACCTTCTCGCTATGAGTTGCCATTTGCTTTGATCCATCTACTCAAACACTTTGGTCAATTTAAAATGGCACAGTGGCGCAGTGGTTAGCGCTGCTGCCTCACAGCATGACGGTTGTGGGTTTGAACCCATTTATTTTATTAACGTCTTTTTGTTCAGGTGCCAGGTCAACTGTTACACCAAAAAGAATGAGTTGCGTTAAGCTCCACTACAGCATTGAGGAAAAACTCATAAACAAAACCATTAGAAAAGTAATTGATTTGTATGAATACAACAAAGAAAAAGAAATTCTAAAATATTTTCTTTTAAGTTAGCCTAGATCATGGACAGTCATTATTGTACATTCAAAAACAGGTAGAGAGAAACATTTATACATTTATGAGCTTGAAACTAAATCACCCACATTGTAGGCCTCACTAAATAAATGCATATGAATTAAATATACATAACCAACGACTCAATTCAGATATCAGCCAATGAGTTTCATGAGAAGGTCTGGCCACAGCAGGACAAAAGAAGCTACAAACAGGCCGCGCTTGCAAGATTCGAGTTGCCGCCAAGCCAAATAAAAGAATTCAATAAAAAAATTTACACCATCAAACAAACTTAAATTAAATACTAAAATTAAGATAGAAAGTTGAGGAAATGAAATCCTGAAAATGGTCGGTGGAGGGGGAAAATGAGAGGGGGAAATAAAAGTTTGATGTAACCTCGGGGTAGGTTTATGCGAATTGACAGTGATGAATCTAAAGGTTTTTGTTTGGTGTTCGTCAGCGGGGTAAGTTTACGGGTAGTGTACGGGGAAGTTAGAGGAAAATTGAAAGTGAAAGTTCTTTCCCAAACCCTGAGCGGCGTCCCTCATTCTGGGAGTAGGAACATGAGTCCCAAACCACAGTTCGACCTCGCTTAGTAGCCTAGACGGACCTTGCCCTCGTCAGCAGAATGTCCAAAGGAATTATTCTCGTGGCTGCCTCAAGAGCTAGGCCTTTTATTGAGAACTCCCTAACACAAAAAATAAACGTCCACCCTGGATAACATACAATTCAATCCTCACAGATTCACTTCCTCCTACTACACACCTGCCTTGTCATCCTTATATCAACTCTCAGCATCCACCCATTCTCTCGTCATTTCCTTAAGCAAAATTTGGGTGACGATGCATAGAAAAAAAAAACAAATATGCCATTAACTATTACTATTACTATTATTAATGGCATTACTATGCCATTATTACTTAATACTATAAATGAAATATTTCAACCATGAAGGGGCTGGTTGTGCACTTGTAGCCCGCTACACAGCCAAGTGTGACACGGTTGGAATGAGGATCAGAACCTCAAAATCCAAGACTGTGGTTTTCTGGTGGAAAAAGGTGTATCCCCCCACCCCCCCACCTCCAGGAAGAGGGTAAGTATATCACGGTCTCGTTCATGTGTGAGGGTAGAATGGAGCGGGAGATTAACAAACGGATTGGTGCAGTGTCTGCAGTGATCTGAGCGTTGCACTGGTGTCGCAGTGAAGAAGGAGCTGAGGCTGAAAGCGAAGCTCTCAATTTACCAGTCAATCTACTTTCCAATCCTCACTGTTCTTCTGGCTGGCCTGGAAATGGTCTAGGATCCCCCAGGAAGGGTTGGAGGAGGTAGCTGGGCTACTTTGCTCAGTCCTGACCCAACAACCCAGCCCCAGATAAGTGAATGAAAATGGATATATGGATGGATGGATGGATGGATGGACGTCCACTACAACCAAAAAGGTCATAGAAAATCTTGAGTCAATTTTCTGCACTGCAAGTCACCAGGAAATTTGATTACGGACCTCAGTTCAAATCCAAATAGCTAAAGCAGAACTGAGAAACCAGTGGAATAACACATGAAAACCACAACAAGATGGGCTCAGGCAAATGGAAAACGCTGAGTGCCAGAATAGTTTGCCGACGAAAAGAATTCGGAATGCTTAGTCAGAGGGACTGAACTGGGAGAATCAATTGAAAAAGCATGTGATTGCTTTCAGAAGCATCAACCATGACACAACTGATGTGCCAAGTTGCTGTTCAACCAATGGGTGAGAAGAAAGTTATGAGAACTGCATGCTGACAGGGAGGTTAGTGAACGCAACGCAGCGCAAATAGCCAAGAGCAGGGCAAAGGCAGACATGTGCAGGGGAGCACAGCAGTCAGAGGGGAACATGTTCGTGACGTGGGTCTTTCTGTGATAAGACAAAGGTGATCCCAAGTCACTTTCGATCCCAAGTCTAGCGTGCTTAACACCTGGACCAGTGCGTATTCCCACTGAAATGTGACTGTGAATTGAATGAGATGAAGTTTCATTTTAACCTGAGAGTTTAGTTCCAAGAAAAGGAGGTTTGTCATGTACAGGGTTAATATTTTTGATAGAATACTGGAACGCCAGGTAAACAAGAAAGGTTGCGCACCATTAAATGTGCAAAATTCCTGTCATTCCTCTGTGTCATTTATTGCGACAGGCATGAAATAAAATTGAGTGCCTGCGAAATTTAGTGTACCGACAAAGGTACAACACCTTGCACTTACTACTCAGTTACTGGTTGTGGCCGCAGTAGCAAGTAGTAAACAGTATGGCCCCAACATGAAATTTAACAGTTCTAATGCAATCGCATGACATTTTTGAATGGCTAAATTGAGCAGTATGCAGTCAGAGCTGTCATGCTTCAGTTTTCTAATTGCCTGTGGTTTTGCGATCGCTTCCCGGTCCATGACTGACTGAGTGCGTTTAAGTTTACACAGAAGAAATATCGCCACTGATGAATCACTGAAGAAGTTGCACTGGGATTGTCCTATCATGTTTTTGCCTATGATGTGGAAAATCAAATCCTTTTAAAATTGCACAATATTCACATTTAAGATTTCATATTAAGACTTGAAAGTGCTTATAAGATTATGATTTTCAAATCAGATGCACACTGCAAACCCAGATAGTGTGGTACACTCAATTTTTTTGTGGAACCCTCAAAAAAATTGTGTAAGCCAACTTTGTGATCATGTGCTCACAGCACTTAAAAACATGTTAAGAATAACTTTTCAAAGTTTTTATTTTCCTTCTGTACCGTCCACACAATGCAATTAAGTTGCCATACATAATTTTTTTGAGGTAATATGTTTCCACAGAACATTTGAGTTCGCCACACTGTCTAGGTTTACAGTGCATCAGGTCCAGGAAGCAGGTAGCACTGTGACTATGACTATTGCATTCTCACGTATTTATACACAATTCAGATCTAGTGATCCGCCAATAAATGGATTAAACGACATAAAACAAATTTGAATCTCACTGTGTGTAGCTGCAGCCTGTAAATTGTGTTCACTACTTCTATATAAATGAAGACATACATCAACAAGTAAGTAAATTCACCTTCGATATACTATTGCGATTAGAAACTGATGTCTCTCTCTGTGCCTGATGCCTTTCGTCTATTTGTTCTTTTCTTTCTTCTTTCCTCCTGAGAGATATTAGATGCTTCTGGCGTTGAGGCTGCCAGGACTGTATTGGATTCATCAGTGCTGTCCAATCCTGTTTATGCCTTCCTGGGCAGGCCTGCAGGCTCAAATGTGGTCTTATGATGTCAAATCTAACGCATACGCACTGATGAAACCATTTCAACCTGGTTCCGACCTCAAGATCTCATTTCACAACCCTGATTATCCAAGAGCCATCAGGGGATGGCATGTCCCCCTGGCTTCACGTCATCAACTTCGGATTAGCAAAAGGCACCACGTCAGGACATGATTAATGTGCACATCTAGTTTTGTGAAAAAATATTGAACGACATTCAAGTTATGCTCCGGAAACTAAATGTTCACGGACGGACGGACAGACAACCGCACCCATGACTATATCCCCCCGCATTATATGCCGGGGGGATAATAATAATCACGCAAATAAACCCACCAATAAACAGATTACTCCTGTTCAAAGCAGACCAAGCATGGCATCGACCGCAAAACCATGATGTATAAATAAAAGAAACTTGAGAAAAATACAGCTGCCTTTTTTTGTAAGGATGGCTGCAGGACCCCCGGGAGGGTGCTGAGAATGGTGGAAACTCTCACCAAAATCTGATATTCATTTTCCTCAAAAGCCATTGCCAAGCTTGAAGCCCTGTCTTACCTCACTGGAGAATTAAGTGTTCAGAACAGAGCCATAAACTGGGTCCAAAGAGCTCGGCCAATTTATTACACCGTAGATTTACAGCATATTTTTTAACAAGTCAGGACAAACTCTGACTGAAAAGTGAAAAGAAAATATTTTTCTATGATTTATAGAACCAAGTTGCTGTATGACTGCATATAAAGAGGAGGACCTTTGATTGAGAGTGATTTAAATGCTGCCACTTATTCGCTCACTGTTCCTTCCTCCTTAAAATCCATCTCCATGAGGTTTTAGACACTGCATTAGGATTTAGTGTACACTCCACGGGAGTTCACAGCACATGCTGACAGTGACGTTGTTCCTGTTAGATTTCTGCGAATGAGTATCAGAGTCACAGGAAGAGGAAGAATTGGCCCCTCAAGGGGCACGAACAGGCCCATATTTGTAACCTGACAGAATGGTTGAATCTCTCAGTGACAGCTGTGAAACCAGACTCAAAGTGCTTGTTTTTATTGGATCTAACACCCCTTTCATACTGGGAGTTAGAGGGTTTCAGAGGCGGCCCTGAAGCGCTCTAAATCCCAGTATGAAAGGATCATGAGACCGGCCTAAAATTTTTGGGCGCTCTAAAGTTAGCGTGCTCTAGGAGGTGGTTCAGAAGTGGTTTAGTGGCAGTATGAAATGTCGCTGAGTGTTTAGAGCACTATAAATTCAGTGGACCGTAAACCGTAATGTCCAAGGTGAGCTGCAGGCTCCGTAAATATCAATATAGTGATCTCTAATGTTGGGCCATGTTGTAATTGAGAAACAATAAATGCCTTTAAGTATATTTTCATGCAAAGCTTGAAGAAAGGTTGAATTTCGCGCAGATATCCTACAGTAGAGTGCACAAATTTGGGCACCCCTGGTTTTAATGTCTGTTACAATGAGTCTCCAAGTGATTGAAAGCAAACCTGAACACTAAATGATACTAAGTTAAACATGACACATTTCATCACATTTTAAAGCAAGAGTAA